TTGGATACATTTTCAGGGTTTTCCGTGTAATGAGTGCCTGTGTATTAGCGGGATCTTTGTTTCTTTTAAACATTTTTTTCTCCGGTGTTCTTGGGGGAGGGGGGGGGATACTTGAAACTTTCGGAGGGGGGAGGGGACACTTGGAATTTTTTTTTGAGGGGGGGGTGGACCTAAATTTCCGGAGGGGCGGGGTGCGAACACTGGTTGAAATATATTTTTTAAAATCAATTCTATTTTGTTCGGGCGGGAGAGGGTGGGGGTGGAGGTGGGGGGGGGAGGGAATTACGGTACACGAGCTCCCGGGGTAGGGGAGGGAGGAGACAATCGTGGGCAAGATGACGAGCCTTGTGATATTAGTTGCATGGAGGAATCGCCCAGAAAAGAGTACGATGGAGAGGCGTGGTTGTGTCCACATACACATGTTAGTGTAGTTGTGTCCACATACACATGTTAGTGTGGTTGTGTTCACATACACATGTTAGTGTGGTTGTGTCCACATAGACAAGTTAGTGTGGTTGTGTCCACATACACAAGTTAGTGTGGTTGTGTCCACCTACACATGTTAGTGTGGTTGTCTCCACATACACATGTTAGTGTGGTTGTGTCCACATACACATGTTAGTGTGGTTGTGTCCACATACACATGTTAGTGTGGTTGTGTCCACATACACATGTTAGTGTGGTTATGTCCACATACACATGTTAGTGTGGTTGTGTCCACATACACATGTTAGTGTGGTTGTGTCCACATACACATGCTAGTTGAGAAAGCTCTAAAGCTCAATCAATCATGCTTGCCTATGTAAAATCAGGCTATTCATTTAAATAATTGATTAGAGAGTTCTGATGGATTTTTGTTTCGATTTTTTAAATGGAGGTTTGAGGAAAAAGAACTTCGTTAGGTCTATAGACGGGTGTCTGTGATGACGATTGCCGATAAGTGTAGAGTAAATAAAGTTCCCTTTCCGAACTTTACGGTGCATTAAGACAAGTGAAGTAGAGTTTACCTGTTTCTGTGACTTGGCATTTGAAGGGATAGGGTGGTCAGCACTATGCCTAGCCGCCTTTACTTTCCTTAACGTGAGTTAGGTACCCATCAGATTTGGGTGGACTCAGACACGTTCTACTGACTTGACTCGGATTCAAACTCGAGACTTCCAGGTTGTCATTCTAGCGCTCTAGCTCTAGGCCACGCCATCTCAGCGATAAGTGTATGGGGAAGGCAAATATGCTGAGATTTCATTATCTTTTACCGCTCACGCCCAAGACACATGGAGCAGATGAAGTAGAGTTCATCTGTTTTTAATGACCTCGTCATCCGGGGTGATAGTGTGGTTAGCACTATGTAAAGATGCTTGAGATTTATTACAATGGATTCCCCGCGCTTTGCTTTCCGGATCAGTTTGAGGAATATATATATATATATATATATATATATATATATATATATATATATATATATATATATATATATATATATATGTCGTGGGTAGAAGAAATCATCTAAACCTTAACAGCCTAGCAATAAACCCCAGAATAATAAAACTAATTTATACTTCGTCACTGAAAGCGTAGGACTTTGGCGTTATTTAACTATTGATGTTTAGTTTTCGGATATCGCCTGAACTAGCGGGCGAGGTTTTCTAAAGACCCCGGGGTGTGTTTTCAAAAGTAAATCAAAGCACTTTCATCCCCGGTGGTTGAGTTACCGTCTGCGGCCGAGAGCCGCCACCCCCCCCCCCCCCCCCCCCCATCCTCCGCCAAAAAGTAAATATCGCACTTTTCCCTCTCACAAATAACTTTTTTTTAAAAAAGTTATTCGTTAGGGAATTCAATGGCACACATTTACGGTTTTAGATAGTTTAAACCTTTTAATCTGAACCTGTTTCAGATAGTTTAAACCTTTTGATCTGAACCTGTTTCAGATAGTTTAAACCTTTTGATCTGAACCTGTTTCAGATAGTTTAAACCTTTTGATCTGAACCTGTTTCAGATAGTTCAAACCTTTTAATCTGAACAAGTTTCTGATAGTGTAAATCTTTTAATCTGAACCTGCTATTGATTCCATTGATAAAATAGTTTTCAGGTTTTTTCAAGTGTTGACTAATGCGAGAAGATAATAAAGAAAATAGTTATCGTGCGTTAAAGTTCGGATAGTTTGGTGATTTTAAAAAATTCGTGTTAATGTTGGCCACTGGTAACTGTGTTTATCTTTTGGCGTCTTTAACAAATATTGGGATCGCTATGTCGCTCAGATAATATGTGGGGGACAATCTTGTTTCACACAACTATATGTAGGGGACAATCTTGTTTCACACAACCATATGTGGGAGACAATCTTGTTTCACACAACTATATGTGTGGGACAATCTTGTTTCACACAGCTATATGTGTGGGACAATCTTGTTTCACACAGCTATATGTGTGGTACAATCTTGTTTCACACAACCATATGTGTGGGACAACCATCTTGTTTCACACAACTATATGTGTGGGACAATCTTGTTTCACACAGCTATATGTGGGGGACAATCTTGTTTCACACAACTATATGTGGGGGACAATCTTGTTTCACACAACTATATGTGGGGGACAATCTTGTTTCACACAGCTATATGCGGGGGACAATCTTGTTTCACACAACCATATGTGTGGGACAATCTTGTTTCACACAGCTATATGTGTGGGACAATCTTGTTTCACACAGCTATATGTGTGGTACAATCTTGTTTCACATAGCTATATGTGGGGGACAATCATGTTTCACACAGCTATATGTGTGGGACAATCTTGTTTCATACAACTATATGTGGGGGACAATCTTGTTTCACACAGCTATATGTGGGGGACAATCTTGTTTCACACAGCTATATGTGGGGGACAATCTTGTTTCACACAGCTATATGTGGGGGACAATCTTGTTTCACACAACTATATGTGGGGGACAATCTTGTTTCACATAGCTATATGTGGGGGACAATCTTGTTTCACACAACTATATGTGGGGGACAATCTTGTTTCACACAGCTATATGTGGGGGACAATCTTGTTTCACACAGCTATATGTGTGGGACAATCTTGTTTCACACAGCTATATGTGGGGGACAATCTTGTTTCACACAGCTATATGTGTGGGACAATCTTGTTTCACACAGTTATATGTGGGGGACAATCTTGTTTCACACAACATATGTGTGGGACAATCTTGTTTCACACAACTATATGTGTGGGACAATCTTGTTTCACACAACTATATGTGGGGTACAATCTTGTTTCACACAGCTATATGTGTGGGACAATCTTGTTTCACACAACTATATGTGGGGGACAATCTTGTTTCACACAACTATATGTGTGGGACAATCATGTTTCACACAGCTATATGTGTGGGACAATCTTGTTTCACACAACTATATGTGGGGGACAATCTTGTTTCACACAACTATATGTGGGGGACAATCTTGTTTCACACAGCTAATAGGTTTATATGTGCGGGACAAATATCTTTTTTGGTTGTTTTTTGGTTGATTTAGTTCATAATTTAATTATTGTGTCGTCATTTGGACCCATTTTACTACACACTATAAACCCTCCAATTAGTGCCATCTTTAAACTTGGAACAATCTGATTTTAACCCACTTTTAAATTTTTTTCGGACCAACCTACTTTCGAAACATTCACGACATGGTTTTCAAAATAGTAGTAGGTGAATACATTTTAGAACTTTTTAAACATTTTCCCTTTTAGTACAAACATGAAAGATTACTTTCTATGAACATTTTATACATTTGTTTCCTTTAAGGTGATGGAACAAAGTGACGAAGTTTTAAATTTTAATTAGAAAATCCGGCACAAAGTAATGACTGAGTAGAGTGCCATTTAAAAAAAATACATCAGATCAATCTGAGATTTCAGCCCCCCCCCCTGCCCCCAAACTCTCATGGCACTTCGCTAGGGAGGGAAATCTTTCTGGAGTCCAAGAACGTCGTATTTTCAAATAAAAGTATTCTAAAAACATCTACAGATAAAGACATGTACAAGTTTCAGAGAGTGTTTTATAGAGAACAAAAAATAGGCTTGAATACATGTACTTAAAATTGTTTATTCGACAGTTTATCTTCAGTTCGACGAAAAACCGACGCCATATGTGTGTGTATGTGTGTGTGTGTATACGTATTGGTGAAAATCCTCCATAGGTGTCCATAAATGACGTCACATTCGTAAGGGGGAGGGGGTGCGTAATTTTGTGACGGTGTGTGATGAGGGGGTGTTCAGATGGTGTGATGTCACTCTTTTGCATAATTAAAAAAACAATGTTAGAAAACGAATTTTAGGTGTTATTTCGCGTTAATAAATTGTAATATGAATTGATTAAAACACTCTATGTTGACAGCGTTCAGACAAGATCTGGGGAAAATATCGCTGTCTTAATAAAAATTCAACTACAATTTTGAGAGGGGAGGGGGGGGGGTGTAGGCTGAGGTGTGACGTCATTTTAGGGGAGAGGGGTCTGGCTCCTTCACTGTGGCGCGGCAAGGTAAAATGGTAGAGCGTTTGGCTGCTGGCACAAAGATCTCGAGTTCGGGTCTCGGTTCGGAATTGTGAATCTAGGACGCCGCTGAGCGCACCCAGCACTGATGGGTACCTGAATTACTTTGGGGAATCAACGGATCGCATGGGTGGGGAGATGTGAAAGAGGCGTGGACGGTGTACTTGCTGAGGGGGGGGGGGGGGAGGTAGTGCTCCCCTCTGAAAAAAAAATACTCTTTACAAGGCCACGTTAGGGAAAGTAAAGGCGGCTGGGCATAATGCTGACCAAACTATCTTCTTCTATGCCGAGATCACAGAAACAAGTGAACTCTACTTCACTTGCCCTATAGACCGTCAGGTTTGAAAAGGGAACTTTACTTTTACTTACTTACAAGGCGTTGTTATTATATGTTAGTTCAAAACGACTTTACAACGTGTTGACATACAAGTGTGTAGAGAAAAGAACTCACCAGGAACATAAAATCCTGCACACACTCTCCATGTACTGCTGCTCGTTGGCTGCCGACCTGGCCATGACCGCATGCGACTCGACGGGCGGGGGGACACACTGGCACAGGACGAGGACGGTGGCGAGTAGGACCAAGACTTGAGTGCCGCTGACAGCCATGTTTCTGTGGAGTGGGGAATCAATTATCAGTTAGTTTTAGACCTGCCTGTAAGGATTAACTAATGTGGTAGTGTAGCATTTAAAGATTCACTGGCACACAAGGTATTTAATGACTAAGTCGGGTAAATAAAGTAAATCAGGGTGCCACCTTCAACCATTTTATATATATATATATATATATATATATATATATATATATATATATATATATATATATATATATATATATATATATATATATATATATATATACTTTGAAATGTGTATATTTATATATATATATATATATATATATATATATATATATATATATATATATACTTTTTCATGTACTAAAACTGTTATTAATTTGGGGGCTCTACGACAAATTCCCGAATGGACACTTGCCCGAATGCAACAATTGCCCGAATTGACACTTGCAGAGAAGATATGCCTGGAAGAAACTCTATTCTCAGTTGTGCTAACGATTTCATAAATGATTATATTCCATGAGCAAAGCAAATTTTCTTATCCCATTCATCAATCTCTTTGTGTGATGTCAGCACCTCGGACAGTGTCACTCAACAAGTGCCACGCCTCACGCCCCCACTAACCCCCCCCCCCCCCCCACCGGCTGACGTGTCACTAATACCACGTGAACATTTTCAAGATGACGTTGAATTTTTGACAGATTTCCTCTTTAGAAACCGAAAAGAGACGAGCATTAATGTTGACATTTGGGATCGCCAACACTAATGTAACAGTTATGTCGCAAGATGATGCTGCCTCGTGTTTCACTTCCGTGATTTTTCTTGACTAACATCGCGGACAAAACAGCAATCGAGAAAAACATGAAATGGTTGTCTTTATACTGGGTTGTTTTAATTTTTTTTACTTGGTTAAAAAACATGAAATGGTTGTCTTTCTACTGGGTTGATTTAGTTTTTACCTTGGTTTTTTTGTGTCGTCATGTCTTGGTTTATTCTTGAGATCTTTGTGCCAATTTTACCCCACACATTGAACTATTTTATTACGACCCTCTTTAAACTCGTACTACTTGGAGCAAGCTAATATAGATTCTTATAAACTCGGAACAACCAATTTATACAAAATTTAAATTTGGAAAAATGTAATTTAGACTAAATTTAAAATTGGAAGAATCTAATTTGGACGCAATTTATAATTGGAACTATATAATATGGACATAATTTATAACTGAAAGAATCTAATTTTGACAAAATTTCTAGTCGGAACAATCTTACATATGTACAAAATTGTTAATTGGTATAATTTAAACAGTAAAGTAACTAACCTAAGTAAAGTTTCCTTTCGAACATAACGGCCCATGGGGCAGGTGAAGTAGTTATAGGATACTTTTTAAACATAGAACACGTTTATATGGACCCATACATTTGCATGCTGACTAGTACTATGAACCCCGCTCACATAAATTGGAAAAGCTTTTGAAACTATTTTTTGGTTGATGGAATCTAGTAACTATTTTTGATTTCCCTTAATATCGATCTCTACAATGTGTTCAGCGAAAGATAAAATCCTTCAAGAGTCACTTTTATTGAAGATCTAAACTTTGTGCTTTCAGTTATTGCGAAAAAATGAGTTGTTTTTATAACTTGTATTAGCAACTGTCACACCACATGAAGATGCAATGAAGCATTTAGTAATTAACAATACCACTCCGATAGATTTGTCTTGCTTAAAATTTAAAACTTTCTTACTTCTATTCTCAAGCATCGGAAGCCATTAAATAATTATGTAGGCCGCTGGCAATAATATTAACAGACCAGAAAAAGATTGCAAATTTTAACAGACGAGTTATTTTTAGATTCGACAAATGGAAATTGCTTAAATAAGCGATTAAACTATTAGACTCATGAAGTAGGGCTATCCTAAAATGAAAAAAAAATAAATTAAATTAAAAATAATTAGAAGCATTGATACAAGTTTCGACTAGAGGTCTTCGTCAGCATTAATAGAAATGTAAAACAAAATGGAACTTTTTAAGACTTTCACTTTTTGAGTAATCGTTTCTTCAAGGTTTTTGATAAACCAAGTACTAAGACGCGGGGTGGTATGAGCTGGGGAAAAAAGGGGGGGGGGGGTAGAAAGGGGGGGGGGGATTGTCTTTAGGACAAAACTCACATTACAGGACAGGACACAGAGGACAAAACGCGAGTGGGATTTAGGGGAGCTAACTTTGTTTGTCCACGGGACCTGGCCAGATTCCAATGCCAGCCAGCGATCTAACGGCCAGACGGTCTCAGGCCAGATTGGTTTACAAGTGGGGATAAGTAAATACACTCAAGGGCTAGAGGCTAGTCGTGGGTTGGTAGTTCAAATCTGGTTTTGGGTTGTCAGTGGGTTGGTTGAAATATCTATTTTTGGGTTGTATTAGGTTGATTTTAGCAGTCTTTTTTTGGGTTGGCCGCGGGTTGGTCGTTAAAATCTGGTTTTGGGTTGTCAGTGGGTTGGTCATAGAGGTATATTTTGGGTTGTCAGAAGGTTGGTTAAGAATATCTTTTTTGAGTTGTCTTGGGATGGTCGTAGAGGTCTATTTTGTGTTGTCTTGGCCTTTTAATCTGCAGTTTAAAAAAAATAACCCTCGAATGTTCTACTATATTAATATAAAGTAAAAGAGCATATATTTGTGTACTTGTGGATTGTGAGTGTGAATGAAGGGGGGGGGGGGGGTCTCTGTGGGTGGGGAATCAACAACCACCCTACATTCAGGAGATTTTAAGGGCAACAAAACCGCTTACCCTATGTAATATCTGCCTCGCTGACTTCATTTCTTTCTTGGTTACAAACAAATATAAAGCACGCACTCTTGCTGCAGCTATATTTTTAAAATGACTAAACTTCAGCCCGAATCGTAAGTAATAGTCAATAAAACTTCAAACATCGATCATAGGACAAGGATCTCACTGCCATCTATTATTTCAAAAACTTCAGATCTTCGTGAGTACTCCGGTCAGCTATCATCTCCTGATCCACGTGAGCCCGGGTGCCGTTAATTTTCTGATACCCGCATTCACATTAATGGCCCCATTACGTGACGTCAGACGCAGCTTTTAAATCGTTTGCAGTAGATATCAGCGAGCTGTATTGATTATCAAGGGAAGCAATTCACCGGCTCCAAACACTTTACAAACACGGCCATGTCTATTACCACTCTGGACGTACAACTATCGCTATCTATATTTCAGCTCATAACACGACACTAATATTAGCAATGATGCTCTTTTTTATAATTAATATTCATTCGAACTTCACTGGAAGCAAAGGGCAAAGACGACATTTTTTTTCTTCTTCTTCTGCGTTCTTAATTTTAGTGTTGGAAGAGATTCCCCCCAAAACAATTAAGTATTACGTGTGAACTGGTATTGCGCCATATAGACCGTTGACTAGGTTTTCAGCCTGCTTTTCTTTTTGGATTTGCTTCCACAGTCTTTGTCCAACCAAGAAGAAACTACAAGGCAGCAGTTGTTTGATTTTGGAGTTGTCTTTCCTAGAAGAGTGGCTGTCCTCAGCAGTCGAGCCTCATCTGTCCGAGGGTTTGAACACTAGAAAATCATCGGAGTCATCTGTCTGAATGGCGGATAACAAACTAACACGTAATACTTCATTGTGATGGAGGAAATCCCTTTCAACTTTACAATTAAGAACAAAGAAGAAAAAGAACAACAACAACAACTCTAGCGTCCACACTGACGATGGCAACGAAGTTGATGCAAACAATCAAGAGCCCTAAACTTAAAATGCGTCAATCTAATACCTATCGTAAACTATTTTCGATAACAGATATTTAAAAATTAGGTATAGCTGATCAATATCAGTCTATAATTGTTGTGACTTATATTGAGAGATTCCCCCAAAAATTAATACAACCACAATGATATAGGCAGAGCGCTCTAGAATATCCTGAATATTTACAAAGTAGCATACTTTTCAATTGTTATGTTTTCATTTCAACTTAATTAAATAAGTATTTTCTTCGTTTAATTTCTTACAAGCTATGCTAATTAATTAAGCACGTTGTCGCCTAATGACTGCAAGACGCCATCTAAGAGGGACCCTTAAATCACTCTCAATCTTGAAATAAAATTCATTATCTGATTCCGCAAATAAAGAATTAAAATGTGCACGAAACACGTTAATGAATTAAACTTAAAAGAAACGAAAGAAATAAAAAAAGCAGTTTAAAACACGTTTTAACATGAGTAATTTTTTTTCTTAAAAAAACAAAACAACAACAACGATTCGTCAATTCCCAATTACGAACCGGCATGTGTCGTATTTTATTTCCATTTTAAATTAAAGAATATTTAAGCTGTGGTAGCCAGTGGTAGCCAGTGGTAGCCAGTGAATATATTTCAAATGGTAGCCAAGGCACGATTTTGAAAGGTCTCATACATAGTCGTTTCAATATCCAACTAGAAAGCAGAACTGCGGATGTATCTACGACTGCCTGTCTATGCAATACTGTAGCTGAACGACTGGCAGCTCCATAACTTAAATCGTATTTTAATTTTATAATAAGCGTTTATTTAATTCTTAATGTCTGTTTGTTTCTTTGTGGCAAATCTTGTACTAAATGCTGACCCACTTCTAGAATAAATTCCAGAATAACTCGTTTCCGGTAACAATGAAAGAATATATATTTTTAAATCTAATTAGACTTCAGCTTAGTCAGTAAAAATATTTTTTAAACAAATTGCTAAGTTGTTTTGTGAAAACAAACATCGAAGGAGGTGTTAAAAGGCGCCATGGGTGTCAATTTAAGCTGAGAGGCATGAGTGCCTCTTAAACTCAGCGCGCGGGTCGGCGTGGTCGAGTCGGTAAAGC